ACGAGAAACCCGTCCCATGCCTAGTCACGAAAAAGCAAAAGCCACGCCTAGTTCCGTCTCAGGGATAAGGAGTACTGTCAGACAACATTGTCTGACACCGTCTCCCGAGACAGACTGGCTGTCGCCCACCATTGTCTGACATCGTCGTCCACGTGTTAAAGGAACGGTCCTCGATAACCTATGAAAATGCAAGAGGTTATGTGGGAAGGTAGTGCGGTCCGTGCCAGTGGACAACCCTGTGCCAGTTTCGCGGCGGAAAGTTGTACGGTAAAGGAATTAAGGCGCAAAGTTGCTTCAGTGGTACATCCCTTCTTCCAGTGACCCCTCCAGGTGTTATGGAGTGGATGCATTCAATGTTCTTGTAGAGTCATAGGGTTCATTACTGGGAATCAGCCGACGGGAATCGTCCCAGCGCGCGGTCTTTTACCTCTACAGTTGTTTGAGGCTAGAGGAGGCCTGACGAATGCGTTTCCAACGTTCCCTTTGGCATTTTCTCTTCATAGACGGTTCACTTGGCGAATTTTCTTCCACATTTCTGCAACATCACCTAGGCTTTTATCGCGGACCGTGCCTTCAATATAAGACATGAGGCATCAGTGATACTGCTGTGAAAAGAGCTGACCGAATTCTCATGAGTGCCGCTCACGTAGGTAAATGCGTTCCATCCGCAGGCACTTATGGTAGATAAAGCCACACACACCTGTCATGGTAGACTTGTAATCTATGGAGGCGAGGAGTTGCTGGAAGGAGAAACGTTGAAAGACTTGGACCTTGCTCATGAGCGCGCCTTCCATTGCGAATCGCGCCACATAGCGACCTTTCAGGAACGCGGTTTTGTTTTCTTCAGCTAAAAAGATTCAAAAGCGTACCTATTCGCAAGGTAGTGATTACCAGGGAATGCGTCCTGAGAGGATGAACTCAGATCTTCCGTCGAGTTTGCGAAACTTCTTCTGAAAGATTCTAATAAGGTCTTTTTCTCCCCTCTGTGTTGCATGCTGCAGCATGGAAGTAAATACCTCGAAGCTCACTCCACTCACCGCAGGCATGTCATTCTCATCTCTACTCAAACCCCTTGCTGACCGTGCTCCATTTTTCTGGCTTTGGAGTGCTCTGAAGCTGGTTTAGCTTTTTTTGGCTTTCGATTTTTCCACTCGGAGATGCTCCACCCACGACGAGTGAGTCCCCCCCCATTTCTTCCTTCTTCCCCTTGTTCCTTTTTTGCAATCTGTTGATGAAGTATTCTGGAAACGGCCCGGAAATCATTTGACTTTTGCCGCTCCCATTTCGGAGAACGCTCCACCCACAGCAATCATGGCTTTCTCATCTCTTCCTACAAACCCTTGCTGACCATGCTCCGTTTCCCCGGCCTCTGGAGTACTCTGGAAACGGAATCGTGACAAATATTGGCCGAATATTGGCCTAGCAAGAGAGTTTCATTTAATGCAAAACTACTACTATGCCTTTCTGAACAACAATCTCATTTTCAGAATCGAAACGATATTGAAGCGCTTTTCAAAAACCTCATCGATTTCCTGGTCACTGAAGGGAGCGAAAGGTTACCGGAGTTTACTCACTTTCTGTGAAATATACCACAATTTAGCCTCAACTATGACTATTTAGACGTCTTCTGCTTGAAAAGAGGAGCAGTGTTGAGAACCTCGATTGCCATGATGAGGTCGTGGAAGCTTTCGACTCCATTTGCATTGACATAGACAAGGTGATATCTGCTTTTCTAACCAAATGCATCGTAAGGAAAACGTACTTCGTCCAATACAGTTTTCCAACCCGTCTGTGTAGACGAAACTGGATAGTTCACTGCTTTCCATTTCTGACGGCTACGGCAAAAAAAATAATGTTCAACGCCTCTTCGCAGTCCACTCTTCGACATTATCACAGAACGTTCGAATTTATGGGCAAGGCTCCGGACGAAGGCTCGAACGCCGCATCTGCGCCGCTGACCGAGCGAATGCGCCAACGGCCGCTCTTTAACTGAGAAAGAGGGGTAATTTAGCAGTGGTGGATGAATTTAAAGCATTTCAATAGTTAGCGACACTCCCTGAGGGTATAAATACAAAATTCCATTTAGTTATCATTAATTATCCTAGTCGTCCTTGGTAAAAGCAGACCAGAATGACTGGTGATGCGACAATGTTGAGAAAATGATCATTGAATAGAAAAAAGTGAAAAACTGGAAGCCATATGACTACGGCACAAAAGCTGAGAGAATAACAGCGACCCTGGTGACGCAATGGATCTATGTGTCCTCGTTTTATGTCAGTGGAGACGCAAGTCGAGATTCAGTCTTTCTGTACTCATGGTTAGTAGCAGTTGGCACGATAATTTGGTACTCGGCTCTGCTAGACAGGCGGCTGCTATATACTCGGAGGAAAAATGGCGAAAAACGGAAGGTGAAACGTCGAAGTACCTGCCTAAGAAAAGCCTTCTTCCTTAATGATTCAAAAAAGCAATCCGACGAATTTTCATAGGGGCATCGCTGCAATAAAACGCTCACGTGCATAGCGCCTTGCACGCGTGCTTCTAGATACATCATTGCAGCAGCACCGCAGCCGCTTCATCCATCCCTTCGCATTCATATTTTACGTCGCAAATGAAGCTATGCGACCATCAGGTACGGTCGTCCATTTGTGGGCGGGCGGGCGTGGTGGGTGTTCGGGTCGGCTTGCTGTAAATTGATAGGGCCCTCGAAGGGGGTACCTTACTTGGAAAAGACGCTACGCAGCGCCTGCTCAGGGTCGCGGAATTCCGTCCTGCCAGGCGTATTAATCCCACTCGTCTTGGGAATTTATCGTGCATACTGCCTTTAAGCCCATAGCTCAGCTTTTTTAACTGGCTCTCATTCTGGCTTTTTATTCTTGTAAGCAAATTGTATTTTGAAATACACAAATAGCGCCAGCATACGGAACACCAACAAGAAACTCGTGTTATGTTCCGAGGCAAAAAGAAAGCGATGAAATGGTCTGATGGATCAACCCAGACTCCGCCATTTAGAGAGTTTCTACCCTCACTGTTTAGGTTTGCTTGAAGGACATGGGCATGATGGCTGGGACCGGGTGGTTGTAGCGAATGTTACTGGTGGAAGGACTCCGCCGTCCCACCAGTGACGTTGACAGCGACCCCTCGCCCCAAGTCGTCGTGTCCACAGCCTTTAATCTGATCTAGGGAGCTTTTTGGAAGCGTGCTCGATTGCTAGGAAGCGATGGAATCCACTCCACCGAAATCACTTCCGATCCATAGCTGTAGGTGTTCCGGAAGCAATGCCACTCTGGTTGCTACCACTATGAAGACTTCACCCTCAGACTGATCTTCATAGCTTCCAGTTGTGGTTTGAATAAAAACTGTTTCAGCATGACTACGCGCTCAAGTACATGAATGTGTTGAACAACTTGTGCACCAAGTTCAACGATCCGGCGAAAATTATCAATGCAATGAGGACGATTTGCTTAAAAACACATTCTCAATTAATCTGAAGCAAGTTTAGCTCGGTCGGCTTTTTCAATAAAGATTTGACTAATGCGAACTCGTTCTCACATAATCGCTATGATTACCTGTGGTGGAATGGAGATTTTGCTAGGCGAGAATTTTTTAGTTTTTCGCTAACTCATTCCTACTCTCA